ACTCGCGGGCAATGCACTTTTGACAGCACTACTGCAGAAGTGATGCTTGTGCTCCGGAGTTGATGATGTCAGGATGCTGAAGTACACCTGGGAATCGGTCACCTGGGGACCGATCAGAATCTCCTGGGCATCTTATTAAAATGATGTTTCCCATTCCACGTATCTGAGGGGGAAGTAGGGAGCTCTGGTGGCACAGTGGCTACTAACCAAAGAGCATATTAAGCCAGTCGGAGCCTTTGTGCTGGCTCCTGTCTCTTAAAAATGTCCCATCAGTTCTTTCTAGTATTTTCTTTCATTCTGACGCAACAAACATTCCAGACTCATCTTTTACTCTCGTTGTCCCAATCTTGAAATCAACCATTTCTCTAAGAAGCCTTGGCCTGTGTAGGTAGAGAATAGTGTGAGGGATCAAGACCTACTCAGGAAGGCCTCTTTGCTAGTGGGGCACTTCCGTTTCTGACAGCCACTGCCAGTCTGCCTTCTGAAGCACCAGCCCACACTCCCACCGGCAGGCTGCACGTGGTACTCACTCCCACTGACACTGGACGTGCCACACGTCTGCAGGCCAAGTGGGCCTCCTGGGTTTGAATTTGCGTTCTCTGTGGATTCGAGTCAGTGCACCTTTTCACACGTACTGGCCATGTGCTGGTCTGTGACGTGTTCATTCATAACCAGAAACCAAACCCAGGTCAATAGAGTTGGTTCTGATTGTGACTCTGAATGACCCTGTGAGCCAGAGTAGAATTGCCCCATGGGGTTTCCAAGGCTGTGATCTTTACAGAAGCAGACTGCCAGCTCCTCCTCCTGCAAAGCCACTGGTGAGGGGGTTTACAGCTGACCCTGGGTTAGCAGCCGAGTGCTTAGCTAGTGTGCCACCAGGGCTCCTTGTTCATTCATTGTCTTTATTTTTTCTGTTGGCTTGTTCATCCTTTCTCAGTGGAGTTGTATACCCTTGGTGAATGCAAACCTTGTTACATGTGTTGCAGATTTTCACACAGTTTTTATATGTGTAACATTACATCATATTTTTTGCCAGAGTTTACTTAAATCATCATCTTATTGAACAGGCCAGCTTTTTCAGTTATATAAATGTTGCTTCAAGGAACACCTTTATGCACAAAGCATCTTCTCTGAAGTTAAAATTATCTGTCCCCCCTTCCACCGTGGGTTAGAACCCCATTTAGCCACTCTGCTGCTGTTTCTCTGTGTGGTCACTACAGTGAAGTCCTTGTACATGTCACCGTACACACTGCTGTGCGTGTGTATTCAGGGTAGAAACTGGATGTGGAATTTCTGTATCAAAGGAGTACACATGTGGGAAGTTCTTGGCGCTGTCACATTGCCATTCTACAGGTCATTCCTTTCCACCTGCCCATGGGGAACTGATGCAGGTCGCCACTGCTCCTCACCTGTGCACATGGCTACTGTCAGTCACTTTATTTTTCGGATCGATGCCGGGGTGGCAACAATCACGAGGCTGGCGCAGGGCTGGGCAGTGTTTCTGTCGCACATCGGGTTGCTGAGTCGAAACTGACTCGACGGCCCTAACGTTTGTGTCAGTCACAGAGGCAAGAAAATGCGTCTCTGTGATTCCTAGTGAAGCTGAGCTCTGTGTCAACGTTGGAATTTTTTTTTTTTTT